CGCTGTTAGATTTTATCATTATAATCGTTTTTCTATTTCCAGTTAGCAGCATGCTTCCTTCAATATGATCTCTTCTGCATAAACCACGGTTTCCTCCGCCGCAGATTCGGGGACGTGGCGGCTGCCGGCACTCGGCTCCTCCCGCAGCGGGAAAGTTCCCTTCCGAGGGAGACAGGTTTTCCCCCAGTGCCTCTTCTTTTCATTTCCATTTTGTCAGAGGAAAACATCATGGTCATCACTGCTGTCGTCATGGAGATTTCATGTCTCCAGAAGAAATCCAGTTGTGGATTTTCTCTGTTAATCCCACACTGGGTGTGTAAGTGCTCTGGGTTGGCAGCCCCGGCAGGGAAGCCATTCGAACAGGCTGCACGTGATTCCTGACCCCGGTGGGCAGGGGGACTTGTGCAGAGGGGCTGGCAAGCTGGGGAGGCGGGGCTAGCAGGTCTCAGGCTGTGATTGGTGATTCGTGACGCCAGTGGGCAGGGGGACATGTGCAGAGGGGCTGGCATGCTGGGGGGGCGGGGCTAGCAGGTCTCAGGCTGTGATTGGTGATTCGTGACGCCAGTGGGCAGGGGGACATGTGCAGAGGGGCTGGCATGCTGGGGGGGGCGGGGCTAGCAGGTCTCAGGCTGTGATTGGTGATTCGTGATGCCAGTGGGCAGGGGGACATGTGCAGAGGGGGTTGACATGCTGGGGAGGTGGAGCTAGCAGGTCTCAGCCTGTGATTGGTGATTCCTGACCCCGGTGGGCAGGGGGACATGTGCAGAGGGGCTGGGGGGGCGGGGCTAGCAGGTCTCAGGCTGTGATTGGTGATTCCTGACGCCAGTGGGCAGGGGGACATGTGCACAGGGGCTGGCATGCTGGGGGGGCGGGGCTAGCAGGTCTCAGGCTGTGGTTGGTGATTGAACAACACTTGGCTCCCCACAGCACCGTGAACTCAGCGTGGTTCCAGCCCACCTCACTACCTTCCTCGCAGACCTGGCATCCCAGTGTCTGCCCCATGGCAGCACTGTCTGCCCAGTGGTCCATGACCCCATTCCGCCCTCTCCTTGTGCAGTCTTCACCTCTGCTTGAGCGATGCCCACCGCTCAGTGCATCCTTTCTTCCTCTCCTCTGGCCCTCGGTTCTTCCCTCTGGTTCACCCCTGGCTGTGGTCTCCCAAGTAACCATTTCTCCCATCTTTATCCAGTGCCCTGCTCTCCCCAACAGCGAGGGCACAGAGTAGGCATTAAACAAATCTTTGCTGAACAACCGGGAGACCCCGGGGTGCTCCTAATATGCAAATCAGATCGAGTTACTTCTCTGTTTCAAGTCCTTCAGTGGCTGCCATTGCTTGTATCCAAACTCGTGGGTCAGTCATTGCAGGCTCTTTGCAGCCTTGCCCGGCACTCAGCATTTGCTCCTGTGGTCCTGCCGTCCCCAGTGAATGGCTGAGTTTTCTGGATGATGCCTGTGTTGACAGAGAATGAGCCCCAGCTCTGCAGTCGGACGGAATGTGGTCACGTTCCAGTCGCTCTACCCCTTCAAGGAGTCCTCATCCTGTCTTTGACTCAGTTTCTTCATCTGTAAAATGAGGCCCGTAGTATCACCCTCTAAGCCTGTTGTGAGAATTAAATGTGTGAACACAGCACTTCGATCAGTGCCTAGCATGTGCAGACACCAGAGTATTCTTACTCTGGGATTCTTACGAGTGTGGTTACTTAATCCCGTGCCTCTTCCTTCTGGCTGGAATACCTTCCTTCACCTGTGCTCAAGATCCTGCAAATCTCAGTCCCAAGATCACAGTGTCTCTGAAACCAGCTTCTGCAGCTGCGTCCTGTTTAAAGCTTAAGTTGTGGGATCAGAATGTGTGGTTTTAAATCCTGCTTCTACGACTCACTGTTTTTCTCTGGTCTAAACTTGCCAGACTGCGGTTTTCTTCTCTGTAAAATTAGGAGAGTAAAACGACAGTCCCCACCTTGTTAGAGTTGTTGGGAAAAAATACACGGTATGTAGAGACACACCTAGCATGTACGAAATACGACACTCATGTTAACTATTCTTATTAGCAGCCTTTCTGACCTTTTTATGAAGAACTAGCCACTGTGTCATTATAATCTTTCTACTTGTTTCTCTCAGCTTCAGGACTGTGAGTTATCTGAGTTCAGGGGCAGGGATCTTATCATTAGGTCACAAGCACTTGACACAGCGTCCAGTCAGTGGGGCGGACACAGATTTAGCTGCTTTGTCAGAATGTGGAAGCATTTGCACACACTGCTCTAAGAGATTTCAGAGGACTGTGTTAAGAGAAGATGTTGGGAAGGAAGCGTCTCTGGGGGAGGCCTGTTTCCTTTCTTTGGAAGGTGCAGAAGACCAGAAGTTAATTGGTACTACACCATTTCCTTTGGGCCAAAGGTGACTGGGGGTGCGGGGGGACCTTGCCTGGGAAGGACTGGAATTGACTCCCAAGACTTGACACGTGGGTGGGATTGACCGAATCATACTGATTCTTAAACAGGGCTGTGCTGGTAAATATTTAAAACCTCTTCCAAGAACAACACAGAGCCCTGATCTGTGGTGTGTGCTGATTACCGTGGTGTAAATACTCCCACGGAGGCTGCTTACAAGCTATCACTGTGATGTTAACCAACTCACAACATTCCTGAACATTTACCAGTCAGCCAGTGATGAGCTGGCTCCATCGCACCACGGTGTAACCTTCTCCCCACTTCAGCTTTTGTCTCTGTAAAGTGTGATCCCATAATGTGACCGCCCTGTCTCCAGATAGAAATGTTACGGGGAGCCGGGCCCCGTGGGCAGGAGCCGTGGAAATGGTGGTGTCTTAGCAGAGCTGCGTGTGTTCACAGTGATTTCGAAGCTCTCATTCCCTGCACGGGCTGCGTTTGTCTTAGAGCCAGGTCTGCCCTGCTGGTCTCTCCAACACCAGCCTGCCCAGTGTCTGCTCGGAGCAGTATGCACAGTTTTACCCTCTCCATCAGGGTTCTGCTCTGTGCAGCAGACTGACTCAATTAGCCCTCCATTCCAGAGTCCAATTGTGAGTCAATTCTGAGGTTGTTAAGCAAAATGAGTCTGGTGGCAGTAGGCTCTCGCTGAGGGACAGTAATCCACAGCACGGGGCTGCTCAGTTAATAGTCCGCTCCAGAGACCATGAGAAACGGAGTCACGTACATGGAGGGACCTGTCATCTGTCTTTGGGGGGCGGGCCGGAGCGCTGCCGGGTTGTAGGCGGAGCTGCAGCTGAGCTGCTTGAACCCCAGTTGGCTTTTGTGAAGTTCAAAGCCCAGTGCTGCTAGATCATTAACTTTCACGACCAGGAAACACTTCTGAAATTAACGCTCAATCCAAGCTGGATGCCGTTGGAGCCGGTTGAGTAAGCCTGAGCCACCTTCGGGGATTTTCTCCGAAAAATAAATCCTTGGACCCGGCTACAGAAAACGGCCAGGTTTTATGCGCCTCGGTGTGTTCATTAGAGTCGGAAAACACCAGGTAGGCTGAGCTGCGGGAGAGATCCAGGGGCACACACATGCATGCCTGGGCCTCGTGGAGGGTTCAGCGAGTCACTAGCTCAGCACAGGGCCCTGCCTGCAGAGCCATATAAAGGGCCCCGTAGGAGTGTCAGGTGCGGTGCGAAGGCAATAAAGCCGAGCTCCAGCACCTGCCCCGGGATTCACAGGGATGGAACCAGGCACCTGCCATACGGAGCGTGCAGATCGGCACAGACAGGGAGGCTCAGACAGGCCTGGTTTACAGTGGTTCAAGGAGAGACCAACCTCCCCGGAGCACTGCCCAGCCTCTGCCGTGTGCTGTGAACTTGGACGGTGCCATCAGCCCTTTCAATCCCCTGCTACTTCAAGTTGTGCGAAAGGGACACAGGTGTGCTTCCTCCAGGCCTTTACTCACCTTGGTGATCATCCCACATCCCACCCTGCTCTGTCTGCTTGTTTATACCACCAAACATGCTAAGTAAATACAGTTTCTTGGATGGAAAGAAGTAAGAAACAGCACTGGGTTTGTTGGCTGCCGGCTCGGGGGAGGGAGAGAGAGGAAAGCGGAGACAACTGTGCATTGTCTGCAGTAATTGCCAGAGAATTTAAATTCCCTGGCAGTCCATTGTGTTCTTCACATAGAAGCAGAGCTGTTGTTTGCTGAGATGACCTCAGAGGGGACCCAGCTCTCATTCAGGATTTCTCCAACAGTACCCTCTTCAGATTGAAAAACAGCCAGAGGGTCACAAAGAGGCCTCTTCCTCCCCAGACCAGAGTGTCTTCGGTCCCGCACCACTACTGGGTCTCTGCAACTTCCCCAGCACCCAGGGCCTCCAAGTGGACTGTGCTGTCCCACGGGGGAGTCCCCAGACTACAGACAGATGCTGCATTTTGATCACGGGGCCCTCCAGGCACCACCTCCAACTGCAGCCCACTGCACCCAGCCAGAGCCAGGGACACCATGGCCAGAGCCTGCCTCCCGCCTCTCCCTTCAGTTCCAGGAAGGCAGGCTCTCCTCATTGCCACTTGGCTGGGATAATCACTGCCCCTCGGCTGGTGGATGAGAAGTGACATTCAGGACAGATACATTTTAAAGCCAGTAGGAATTATGGGAGCAGATGGGCTGCAGGAGCCGATTTGGATGCCAGGGACATGTTTCTGTATAAAGTAAATATTTTCCCAGTGTGGATCTCCAGTGAGTGTGCCGAGAAGCATATTTCCCAAAGATGCAAATAAGTTGAGTCAGAAATAAATATTGAATGAAAACTTCAAAGCGCCCTGATTCCTCCAGTTGTAGGCCCTGAAGACTTCTCTGCACATAAGTAGGCACACAGGTGGGTGGGGGCTGGGGGAGGGGGGGCTGGGAGTTTGTATGAGAGCCAACATTGTAAGACTTCACATTTTCTATGTTTGGGGGGTGGGAAAGGCATATCAACAAAGGGATAGAGAAAAGTTGTGTCTGTCTAGAGGCTCCGGATTTTTAAAGCATCCTCTCCCCTTTTCTTCCTGTTGCAGATCGCGCCTCGCTGACTTTTTTACCAACTGCCAGCCGGAGTCCAGGTCGGTCAGCAGCTGTCTGAAGGAAAACTACGCAGACTGCCTCCTCGCCTACTCGGGGCTCATTGGTAAGACCAGGGCGAAGCAGGACAGGAGCGGAGTCTGGTTTGCAAATACTCAGACTCTCCCCACGGTAGCCGCCACTACCTGTGACAGTGACGATCTCCCTGTGACCCTCCGTGCTGGGGTTTTGATGTTAGGCCTCTAGGACTCGCCTGTAAAAAAATAAAATAAAAAGCAAAAAAAAGAGGCTGATGGCCACTCAAAGGCAAAGGCAGGAAGCAGGGATTATTACCGAGCAGGAAGACAGCAGTGTGAAGACCTGTAAGCCTCACAGTTGGAGAGCGGACCGCGGGCAGAAAAAAGCCTGGTTCGGGAAGAGGAGAGCGAGTCAAACCAAGTTCATTGAATTAGGGAACTTGGAAGTCATTCATTCCGGGGAAATCAAAAAGGCTCTTTCTCAGAAATGGCCCTTTGGAAAGAAAACCCCTAACTACTGAGGTCCTTCTCACCATTAATATTCTGGGCAGCTCAGCTCCCGGTGTGCAGGGGGTGGTTTAGCCTCCGTGTTTTCTCCCGAGAACAGACATAGTAGAAACAGCACTTTTCGTCTTTCAAGACCGGAGGCGTTTGCAGAAGCAGGTTCTCAGCATTCAGGAGAACAGTGCCATTAGACAAGGCACCGGTGGATTGGAGGAGAGGCAGAATTGAGGCCGGCTTGTGCCCATGGATAAGCGTGGCAGGCAGGAGGGCAGGTGGGTGCCCCCGGTACCAGGGACCATGGACGCCTTGGGGACAGGGCTCCATCACGTTTGACGTCTGGGAAGGAACACGCAGTGAAGGCTGGGGAGGGTGAGCGAAATCACAGTTGTCAGAAGCATGATGGCTCAGCCAGGGTGTATGTTCCTGCCAGGATCACACGCATCACCAGGCAGGAAGAACTTCCCACCGAACATGACAGCACAGACTAAATTCTTTGTCACCAGCGCGTCTTCAGCAAAAGCCGTGGGAAAATCGACAACGGCACATACTGCAGGGGTATTACAGGTGTCTGCACACTCATGCCTGTGTGTTTTGAAAGGATACCTGTGCTCTGTTGGATAATGCCTTTCACTAGTTGTTGGCCATATTTATGGATATGTCCAATGAGTGTATCTTCCTTAAGTCAGTATTCCAAATTGGCATTCACTCTACTTTTCTTAGAAAAGTTGGGCCCTAGGAGGGATTACTTATCAACTGTTGAATTACAGGTTTAAGAAATAACAAGTAATTAAGGCATGCTCATTGTAAGAAGTTTAAAAGAATACAGAGAAACCCAAAGGAGACAGTATTAAGGATCTACAAGTCCACTCCCGGATGTAATTGGCATTAACACCTTCGTCCCTATCCCTCCAGGCACACATGCTCATTAAATCCTCCATGATGGCTAAGGCAAACTGTTACATGCCTGAGGATGATGAATTGCTCATCATTAAGGGAATAATTGAGGCAATGCATTCTGCAGAGCAAAATCTATTTCTCTGTTGGGTACGGATCTCTCTTTCCACACTGGTCATTGGGTTCTAAACTGCTTTGAGGACATAGCTTGCTCCTACTTCTTTGTATGTACTGTGGTGTCAGGTATGCCTAGTAGATACATTTCAACCTTTTTACTTGGTTCCTTTCTCACCCAAAGTTAGGACCTCCCTCTCTGTTGTGGGTCAAAGTTCTCATCTCAAGGTATAAATGGCATGTAACTAAGTTCGGGTCAGTAAGGAATGTAAGGCAAAGGAGATGTGCCCTTGACCCAGAAGAGCTTGCAAAGAAAAATTTTTTTTTTCTGTTTGTGAACCAAATGTACCCTGTGGATCACTGACCATCTATTACTTCTTACTTCCACAAAATTTATAAAAACTGAAGGCTTCTGGGCATCCTTGGGCATTGCCTGGTGTGAGCCACCCAGGAGAAGACATTCGGGTTGTATTAAATATAAATGCATTATTTGTGCCAGCACAGAACTCATCAGAAAAACCAGGGACACAGGAAGATGTGGGTAAGAGAGACCACCCAGTATTTCTTTTTTTTTTTTAATCCTCATCCGAGGACATTTTTTCATTTTTTGTACAGACAGAGTGGGAGGGAGAGAGAGGAAGAGAGAGAGAGGGAAACATCGATGTGAAAGGGACACATCGAGTGGCTGCCACCCACACGACCAACCAGGGCCCAGGACAAACTGCAACCGAGGTACATGCCCTTAGCGGGAACCGAACCCGGGTCTCTCCGGACCGCAGGTGGACGCTCTAACCGCTGAGCCAAACCGGCCAGGGCCACCCAGTATTTCTTTTAGGACTTTTGAGGACTGTTGAGGACAATGCTCCAGGAGCCGCCAGCTCATTCCCACTGTTTGCTTCCAGTTCCTTCTGCACTTGGAAGGCCCCATTCCCATCAGCCGGTGCCTGGTGTGCAGAGCCCTCCTCACGAACACGCAGGATGTGGGGTAACCCCACAAAGACAGCTCCGAAGCTTCCCTCGTGTTCCTGAAGAAGCCCTTTGCTTCTGAGGGAAGCCGATGCAAAATCCTAAAAGGATTTTTAAGATATGGAAAACCAGTTCTATCTATTTATGAAGATTAATGACATTTTCGAGGAAATGTAAGGGGTTTGGCAACTCATGCATTCAAAGTTAATTCTCTCCGACTCCGTGACATCCGCACCATTTGTGCGGAGAAAAGAATACCCTAAGTGCAGCTCAAGGAGCTCTGTTGTAATTTTTTAAGTAAATGTGCAAATTATTTTATGTGCTCAAGATAAATGGCCAAGAAAATGCACTGCTTAACATAATTCCCCACTCTGCAAACACGGCGTTTGTAATTATCCACAGTGCATCGGCCGTCAGAGGAACACTGGTTTCTGTTCAGGCTGTGGAGAGGCCTTGTCGTCACACAAGCATCCAACGCCTGGTTTCTACTCTTTTAGGTACAGTCATGACCCCCAACTACATAGACTCCAGTAGCCTCAGCGTGGCCCCGTGGTGTGACTGCAGCAACAGTGGCAACGACCTGGAAGAGTGCTTGAAGTTTCTGAATTTCTTCAAGGACAATACCTGTCTTAGTAAGTTTTTTATTGAAAAAGGAAACAAACGTGTTTTTCTCTCTGAGCTCAAAGCCCACTTCTGTGTTTCTTATTTCTTGTGTCTGCCTTCTCCCTCCCTCTGGCTCTCTCTCTCCCTTTCTCCCCTCCTCCCCCCACCGTGATGGTGCACCCGGCTCCTTTTGGCCACATCATCTAATGTAACAAGGAGCACAGCAAGTGATCAGCTGGGTGCTGCCAACACTGAAACTCCAAAATCTCGAGAGAGCAAGCGATTCTAATAACCGAGGGTCCATTATGTGGGAAGGAACACTTCTACCCACAGATCAAATTTTGATCTTGGCAACCAGCGCAAAGTCTGTTCCAAATGTTCTTAAAACCTGAGTGCAATAGACAGTGTGAGACGCTCAGACAGATTAGATGGGGCAGTCCTCTAAGAGCGCGCCGAGAAAAACGAGCATGTTAACATCCACAGCCCCCATGACGTTCGGGTTGGCTCAGAGGAGAAGCAGCGATTCTTGAGTGGAGAAGCTGGCTGTGCAGCTGGAGCCTCAGGGTGGTCGGTTATCTCGGGAGGCAGAGACGAGCACGGGAGGGGGAGGGGCTCCTGCTTGGAAACAGTATCAGTTATTATTGCAGTAGCCTTTAGGCGAGTGGGAAACGTGTCTCCCAACGGGAGAGAGAGGGAGAGAAACACCCGGTGTGAACAACATTCATTAGACGAACCTCAGAAGCACTGTGCCGGGTCCCCCTTCTCTCCACCGAGACACGGGGGCTCCAGGTGACGGCTCTGCTGAGATGTCGCATCCCTCACTCACATGTTGTGGCAGCCACTGTGAGCTTACTGGGTGTCTTCTGCTCACTCTGCAGGGAGTCCAGTATAGACATGATCTCATTCACTGTAATCTGCACAAGCGGTATTGTTATCTCCATTTCGCAGTTGAATAAATGGCTGGTTTTCACATAGAACATCCATGCCAGAGACAGGGCCTGGGCCTCACTTCCTTCTTGTACAGCCCCATGTCCCCTAAGGATTTTGTGTCATGCCTGCTATGGAAGGGTCTGTTGGACAAGGACACATACCTGAACATCAGGGGCCAGGTATGCCTTCCTGGTGGCAGGTGTGGACCAAGTTTCTAGGAACGAAGGTCAGCGACCGTCCTGAGAGCGCTGTCCTCATGTGACAGTTTCTCCATGAGGCGCTGTGCATGGTGGCTGATTCCTAAAGAATTAGCTGATAATTTGCTCTGTGTCCATTGGAAAAGCTTTTCAGTGTTACTTCTGAAACCTCCTCCTTGTTTCCTAGAAAAGACAAATGTAAGTGACTTGCTCGCTGGGTCCTTCCGTTATGTGTCTGTAGCCATATCGCTCCAATGAACGCACGCCTTTGGAAATGTAAATGAAATGCAAACCCACAGAATTAATCTTAAGCACAGTGATGTGCCCAGGCATTGGGCAGACCTCTTGTTTGGTCTTGACTTAAAAAAAAAAAAAGTTTATATATTATATATCCTCTTTTTCGCTTCCTGCATGCTCTTCGGGCAGAACACCCGATTTAATGAAGATAAAGCGATGACAGCAGAGGTCGGCGTGAAAGCAGATCCCCGCGCTGCCTGCAAACCCGCTCCCTCGCAGAGACGCTCAAGTTGTCCCTGCTTAATAATATTTTGGTGAAGGGGAGAATAGTCTGGTATCTTATTGCTAATGACTTTTCAATCAAAATAAATGCATTTGGTCTTCAACGGGGACCAAAGCCAGCCAGAGGTTGTTCTATAGTCATTCCATTTTACTTCGTTTAGAAGGGGCACCGTATCCAGAGACGCCGTGCTGTAAATTCAGCCTCTAGCAAAGGCTGGAGGAATTGGAATTTGTACAGTCCAGCCCAAATGCAATAACCCAGTTCTGCTCTCTTCAAATGAACCAACTCTTCCCCAGATTCCACAATCATGAACACCACTCCAACCTGTTGTTTACTTCTGGGTGTAGGGGGAAGACAGTTATTTTTATACCAAAGTGTGTGACCGATGTCAGGGGAAGAGAGATGGGAGAGTGAGCTGACGGTGGAGGTGACTGTGACCGTCACTCACGTCTTTGTTAGATGCCACCTTCCCCTCCCTGGACCACTTCATCCACACTGCAGCTCCCTGTTCCCACCAGCACCCCCCAAACACCAACCACCTGCTTCCTGTTTCTGCAAGCGTTTCTCACCACCTACTGTATTGTATATGTTACTTCTTTCCTTCCAACCAGAGTGGGACCTCCCTGAGGGCAGGGACTCTGGCCTTTTACTGCTGTATCCCCAACGCAGAGCAGTGCCTGGCACATAGCGGTTGTTCCGCTACCTTTGAATGAATGAAGGAATGAATGAGTGAATGAATGAATGGACGAATGAGTGAGTGAATGAATGAATGAATGAATGAGCAAGCAAACCAATGACCTCCCGAGTCCAATGCCAGCATGCCATAAAGTGCACGTAGGTTCAGCGATGGCAAAAGTTCTCTTAAGTCTACATGTCTGAGTAGAAGAAAGGAAGGCTCTGCTTTCTTTTGTTGTTGCTCTGGGTCATTCCAGAAAACCAGTCCCCCAAACACCTTCCTCTACATTTCACCCACCCTTTGGGCCACAGAACATGTCTAGAAGCACAAAAAGCATTTATATTAATTTAAAGCTGTTTCTTACAGCCCTAAAAATGTAAAGTTGTAGAAAACAGGTTTCCAATTTTCTGAATTTAAAGGATAACAATTTTAGAACAAAATGTCACTTCTAAGAGGAACATTAGGCTTAAATTATTCTGTCTTGTATATTGAAAAATGCCAGCTAAGAGTCATATATTAACAATTTGCACATTCAGGTCCCAAGTGGAGGAGTTTGATTTTTTATACAATGAATATGAAATAAAAAATTTCTAAATCCAGGCCAAATCCCCAAAGACCTGATTAAACTGTTTTTTTTTTTTTATTCATTTGGGGGAGGGGAACCACACAACCAATTTACTCTTGCCATAAAAACAATCTAATCCCATGAACTTGTAATAAGCTTTTAAAGTTTTACATTTTAAACTTTTCATTTAAGCTGGGCTGCTCCTACCTAATTATGCAGATTTTGTTTAGAAGACTGGGAACAGAGAGGGGAAAAAAAATAATCTTACTTGAATTTTCACTAGACGATTGCAGAGGTTCAGGGTAGGTTTTTCTTTAAAGAAACTGGTTTCATTTGCCCTGTGAGCGATGCCAGCTTCATAGAAGATGCTGCGTGCTAGTGAATCACATGCTTTGCTCTTTGATTTCACTGTCTGACAGATGAATGTCAACACCACTGAGCCTTCTCAGTCTCATTATTAACGATGTTGTACTTAAAAAAAATAAATAAAGCGCTAAGAAGTTTGCTTTTAGTATAGAATTTTGACACAAAACAAAGGTTTTCTCAGAATCCCAAATAATAGGTCTGGATTTCAAAGGGCTTCAGTGATGAGTATTTCAAGGCAAGGACCTGGCGCATACATAGGGACACAATAAATATGGGCTGCGGTTGGAGCATCCAAGTGTCCAGCTCGGTGTTTAATGAATGAATTGATTTTTGAACATCTGACCCGATGGCTGGCTCTCAGCGCGTGTAGGGTAGACAGTTGGATGGGTTTTGTTCAGGGAACTCCAGTGCTATATTCAGAATTTCTAGTGTGCCTCTCTGGCTTTATGTGGCTTGTCTGGTACATTTGCTGCTGGACTTTGAAATTGGATTTCCTCCTGTTTCACTGCAGAAAACGCGATTCAAGCTTTTGGCAATGGCTCTGATGTCACTGTCTGGCAGCCAGCCCTCCCAGTTCAGACCACCGCTGCCACCACCACCACAGCCTTCCGGGTCAAGAATCAGCCCCTGGGGCCAGCAGGGTCCGAGAATGAGATCCCCACTCATGTTTTACCACCTTGTGCAAATTTACAGGTAAGAGCGGGGCTCGCATTCCCTGTTGGAGCTCACTTCTGGCGGGACACAGACTCATTTTCGTTCGAGATGGCTGGGAATGATGCCCAGGTTTGCGCCTTCACAGTGACTCTGACCATGAGCCATAGAGCAGAGCGAAAGATGCCTGGGAACTGACGGCCATTCACTAGGGGCGGGGCTTTGGCCAAGGCTCCTGCGTATCTATCAGCTCTTGGTGTCCTGTAATATGGGGCGGGGGGGGGAGGGGCTGGGTAGATGGGTCCTCACAGTTTTTGTTTGTGGGTTGGTCGAGCTAGATTGGCTTTTTCTTTATGCATTAAGCTCATTCTGTGCTCTCGACAAAGCAGCAGCATATTGAAAAGAAAGGAGCTTTGTTTGGTCCCCATCACTGCCGCTTACACCGAAGGATGTTACTATCTAAAGGGAAACCAGAGACCGTGTTGCTAGTGAAGCATCCGCTGAAACCTGGAGTCCCATTGGTTGGTTCTTCAGGGAGAAGAGCAATGCTCTTCCGCGGTGAGGGGAGCGGTGAGGGGCTGCCCTGCCGAAGCCCTGCTGGGAGCCCAGTCCGGCGGGGCTCACCCAGAGACGTCGTCGGGTTCACCCAGATCTCCAAGGGCAGGACCACCCATACTAACAGTGCTTTCTCGACTTTCGTCAAAGCAGGGTGCTTATTCTGCCTTTTTATTGATTTTTCCATCACAATGAGTATTCAGCTGTTTGGCAGGACGTTGCCTATGTTTATGTTCACCAAGCATTTTTGCACTTGACCTCTTGGGGTGTTATCCTCTGGACGGCGGGAGAGATGCCGTTACTGTGGTCTTGTCCACCTTGCTCTTTCGTTTGAGGACACGGGGCTCGGTGAGGTGACGCGTTTGCTGGAGCCGGCAGAGCTGGTGAGTCACAGAACCAGCGCTGGGGGTCCAGGAGCCTCGTGTTCTTTTCAGGGCTCTTCCTGCATTTTGGGGTAGCGGTGACCACATGGTGACTTCTGCCTCATGCAGAAGGGGATGTTTCCCAAGCACTGTGCTCCCATACCCATCCTACCTCACACTTGTCCCTGGAGTGCATCGTCCCTTCTCTTCCCTCACCGGAGTGCTTACCAGAGCCTTCTTTTGTCTGTTGTCATCTAAACCCACAGCCACTTTGGCCCCTTTCTAGAAAGTGTTGGGGCTGTGTTTCTAGAAAGTATTGGGGATGTGTTTCCACTTCTGATTTGCTTGGTAGTTTCTCACGCCAACATCTCACGCTTCTTCTGGGATGTCCTCCTGGGTCACAGTGTAAACCTTCAGCCACACAGCCTCAGGTCGACCAGATGTTCTTCCTATTCCTAAAGCATTTCTTGAGTGTTTCCCATCTCCAAGGCTCTGCGCAGAAAATGCCGAACTGGGAGGAAATTGGTGGGGGAGGTGCTATGGCATCCTGCCCCAGGACCCTGAGGTTCGGGGAGGGTCAGTGACGCACTTGCACAGAGCCCCCCAGCCTGGTGGGGGTGGGTCTGGAGCTAAGCACAGCTCTTCAGAGACAGAGCCTCTTCAGCTCTGGCCGATGCTCGGTGTCCTGCTTCCTCCGAGGTCCGCCTCAGATCCAGCATCAGTAAAGACAAGTGGGCAGAGGAGGGTGGGACCCTGTGATCATAAGGCGGTAACAGTGGGCCCAGGGCGGGTCCTGACCGGGAGAGGGGCCAGCTTTGCTGCCGCAAAACCAGGGTCTGTCCTGCACACGTCTGAGCGCACAGTGTGGCTGCAGAGGCAGCCTTCGGCTGTTTATTAAGCTCTGTCTGTGTTTCGGAAACTTTGTGAAGAGGGACATTCAACAAAAAATCTGTGCTCTGTGAACTTACACATCGTAGGCAGGATGCAGCTCATCAACGTTTTTGGAAAGTCAGACTGAGTTAATAAATGCTATCACAGAGGAATAGTTATCCTTGGAAAACCACAACATTAATTTCCCCATGAGTAGGACCGGAGGTGTTCCTTCCCGCTCTCTGCACCCCCTTACTGCTTGACTTCTGTTTCCCATGACCCGGTGCATGGCTTGTCCACACAATATTTGCCTCCAACACAGATCTGTCCAATCACCCCTCCCCGCAAGGAGGACTCTGTGCTGCATGCAGGGTTGCCCTGGCAACGTCAGAGGACACACGAGCTCTATTCCCAAGAAGCAGAGCCTTTCCTTCTCCTGTGTTAGTGATCAGAACTGGGCCTCATAAATAGAGGGACAAAGTAAAATTAGAGCATGATGTTTATCTGAGGGCTGCCATTTAACTTCTCCCGCCAGAGGGGAGCGGAGGCGTGGGACTCCGGAACAGTGGGGTGACGGCCACACCTGTCTCCCCAGTGCCACACACACAGAGGCCACATCCCTCGCAGCCAAGCAGCATTTCCCTTGCAGGGAGCCCTTTGGGGCCCACAGAGCTTCTGCCTTTCTTCTAAGATGGCTCCTGCTTTTTGCATGTGTGAGGCGGGGTGAGGGCGTGGGCTTGGCAGCCATGCCTGTGTTCAGACCCAGGCTCTTGTGCCCCCAGCATCAGGGCCTCTCCACGCCTATTCCCTCAGCTGTGAAAACCAGAGGTTCGCCTCGCTGCTGGGGCCGGGGGTTACATGAGGCAACGCATCAGTGCTTGGGGCACGAGAACGCTCCAGATGATGCTTGAGAGGTGTCACACGCGATGTCTGATCCCACATCGGTTGACCACTCGGTCCCTTTACAACAGTAAACAGCTGTGGTGTTGTGCCTCGCGTGGGGTGGGTGTTGCACTAGGGAAAACTGGTGTGAGTTAGCCTTACAGGTGGACAGTATATTTAATGTTTTCCAAACATTTCACCTTTACCCCTTACAGCAGCCCACGAGTCAGGTAGGACAGACATCGTCCCCTTTTACAAGCGAGGCAGCCGAGCAGAGAGAAGCTAGTGACGTCCCTGAGCTCACACGGCCATTCCCTGGCTGGGAGTTCCGGCTCCGAAGCCCGTGTGCGTCTGCCTTGTTCCACGGTCATGGCTCTTGCCTTGTTCCATGACCTTGGACAACCTGGGCTCTTTCTTTGAATTAGGAATGGACAGAGAGGAGGAAGTAAAAAATAGAAAAGGAGGTCATGCTGCATTTGTCTTTCTGTGTCTGGCTTATTTCACTTAGCATAATGTCCTCCGGGTTCGGCGGAGTCTGAGAAAGTAGAGCTTTGGGAAGCAGAGTAGAATAGTGCGTGGGGGGCTGGAGGAGGGGAAGTGGGGGGATGTTGGGCAAAGAGTACAAAAAGTTTCACTTCTGCAGGATAAGTTCTGGGGACTTGTTTTACAGCATGGTGACCATAGTTAAGGATACTGTCTTGTATACTTAAATTTTGCTAAGAGAGATCTTCCTTGTTCTCACAACCCCTCAAATGGTAACTGTGTGTCAATTAGCTTGACTGTGGTAAACAATGTGTACATAGATCAAAACGTCACATCGTAGGCCCTACAGACGTACCAGTTTTATCCGTCAGTGGTAACTCAGAGGTTGGAGGGGGGAGAAAAGATGAGAAAGAAGCTGGTTCTGAGCAAGCCACATGCCCAGCTCTTCCTGAGGACAGTGGAGTGTACACGAGGGGCCAACACGAAGCTTGCATTGGGGCTGGGTTTTTCCTGCCACAGTTCCAGGAGACGGGGACAGGAAGGGCTGGAGGTTTGCCAGCAAAACTTTTTGCGGCTTGATGATCTGTTTAGGATGACTTAGATGAAGAATGTGGAGAGAATCACTGGAGGCCAGAGGATTGATTGGGAATGAGCCAGCGATGAGAGACGGGCCTCAGCCCCCGAGAACGTGGTCCCTGGCACCGAGTCAGGGCACTTGCTTTGACGTAGTGCCCCCAGGAGACTCATTCTCCCCATCTGTCCTTCCTCTGCCTGCCTGGCTGTCTCCAGATAAATCACCATTTGCCAGGGGGTCCTAGAAATATCTTCGAATGGCCTTTGTCCCGGCTCATGTGTCGTTGCTCAGAATAGAACCGACTTAAACCAGCTTGGGACCCATTGGTAACGGATTTGGAGAAAGTCAACTATCTTTGGCAGCTCCAAAGTTCACTTCCCTCGAGAAGCACCCTCTTGTAATATTTTATAATATACAATAATATGAGAAGACGCTCGGGGACTCGAGTTTCTGTCTTAACATTTGAGATAGATTTCCCCCTTGGAAGGGAATAAATAAGAATAAACATTTTCAAAAGTCAGCTTCGAAGTGTGATTATCAGCACACCACACACCGTTGTGCTTGGGGAGATGGTAGCTTTGGGTGTGGTGCACACCACACTCATCCGCCGCTCCTGTGAAAGGCTGGCCTTAAAAAAGGAACACTGATTGATTAGTATAAAATGTCATGGAAATGTCCAAGCGCTGGCTCCCCGAGGTGCTAAAATACCAGGTATTGGGTAGCCCGCCAAGCTCCCATGTTGGGATTAATTGCCAGTCGTATTAGTAACAAGCGTGACAGAGACGATGCTATTGTTGACACATCTCTTTGACGCTGTACAAAATGGTCACATGAAAAGCAAAGAAATATTTAAAAGTCTACCAGTTATTTTGTCTTCAGTGCACTTGAGCGGTCTGGTAGCTGGAAAAAGCTCAGGCTACATCAACCAAATGGATTGTGCTTGTCATTTATTTAAAGTAAAGATCTTGGGGAGGTGTAAGTATTGGGAAAATCTCTCTGTGGTATCACTGGACACCACTTAACTCTGATGGCATAAGGTGAAGACTCTCAAAGTGGCATCTGTGAGCCCCTGATTTCCAAGGTCAAACAGGGTTAGGGACTGGGGAACATAGGCTTGGGACTAGGGCTGAAGACCCCTGAGAAGTCTAACTCCCTCTGCTCCCTTCCTTGAAAGAGCTGCAATGGGGGGTTGAGAGGAGAACGTCTGATGGATCAGGGCACACCCTCGGAGCCAAGCCCCGCAGGACGGGTTCCGGACGGTTATGGGCAGTGCATGTGAGCTCTGGTGAGCAGGGCAGGCCATATGCCAAGTCAGT